GTCTTTACAAAATAAGATTAGGACACAGGACCCTCACTCAGAATGCAATCACATAGAAACCTCAGCTGAAGAATTATCAGAACATACTCTTGTTGTTGAAGCCACCCATAGAGTGAAGCTGTTAAGGAAGCTGGGGAGAGGGACGCCATGTCCCAGTCACACAATTCACAAACACCCTTAACTGTGACTTAGTCCTGCAATAGAAAACAGGGTTTGGGACAGGTGATGATTATGCTTTAAATAATGCAATGACAAAACTGAAAAGCCGTCACAATAACTATAAGAAAAACTGACGGGACACCATATTTGCAATCAGGAAAGGAATGAAGGGTTCAAGTCATGTTCACTTTGGGAAAAGCCAAGAACAGGAAAACCTACACAAGACATACTTTATGCCTGAAATGAAGTTAACCAAAAGGCAAGTGAACAATTCAAGAACCACATGGTTAGCAAGGAAGAGGTGTAGAGGCAACTCTGCACCATTCTCTAAGATTACAAACAAGTACATGTATTTTATTTTCTTCCTTTTTTTTTTTTTTGGTTTTGTTTTGTTTTGTTTTTCCATTTTTCTGTGTAGTCTTGGCTGTCCTAGAATTCCCTTTGTAGACCAGGCTGGCCTTGAACTCACAGTGATCCACCTGCCTCTGCCTCCCAAGTGCTTGGATTAAAGAAAGGCTATGCCACCACCACCTGACCGTGTATTTTCTTTCAGTGTTTAAGCTAACAAAAGAATCCTTGATGATACGGGGCAGTGGTGGTGCACACCTTTAGTCTCAGCACTCGGGAGGCAGAGGCAGGAGGATTTCTGTGAGTTGGAGGCCAGCCTGGTCTACAGAGTGAGTTCCAGGACTTCCCAAATAAATAAACAAACAAACAAATAAAAAGAATCCTTGATGACTCACAAACAAAAAAAATATATTTTCAGGCATCAAGTGAAAGACATTTGCACTGGTTTTAGCGGCGTTCTGGTTCTTTGTAAATTTCTTCTTGTCCTTCCTTTCCTACCAACAGTGGCATTGTGCATTGCTTTTTGTATCTAGAGCCATAGTGTTCCAGAGGAAAGTAAGGAAGAGAGGAAAGCTAGTCTCTAACTTGCAGTTCTGGGGCAAACTTCAGGTAGATGAGAAGGGAAAACAACTAGATCATATAAACAGCAGTTTATGATAAGATTTTTATGTATTTTTAGAAGTTTTTTAGCTGGGTGTGGTGGTACACAAGACTTTAATCCCAGTACCTAGGAGGCAAAGGCAGACAGATCTCTGTGAGTTCAAGGCCAGCCAGGGCTGTTACACATAGAAACCCTGTCTCAAAAAGAAAAAAGGAGGAGGAGGAGGAAGGGGGGAGGAGAGGCAGAAGAAGTTTCTTAAATACTTTTAAGTGTTTTAAAGATCTATTTCATGCTGGGTGGTGGTGGCGCACGCCTTTAATCCTAGCACTCGGGAGGCAGAGGCAGGCGGATCTCTGTGAGTTCGAGGCCAGGCTGGACCGACAGCCTCCAAAACAATACAGAGAAACCTTGTCTCATAAAACCAAAAAAAAAAAAAAAAAAAAAAGTTCTATTTCATGTAAAGATGCATAATTTTTTGAATTACACGTTACTTCCCTCTAGGTATAAAAATATGACTGATGCCCTACACCTCCCCCCTTTGCTCTCTCCATGATTTGCAAGTGTGATAACACGTTTCTGAAATACATCTCCTTTGTATGAAATACTGAAATATCTCCCCAACTGCTCCAAGTGTAAGACTTCCCAAAACAAATGAACATTGCTGGAGAACTCACCTTTCTCCAGAAAAGCCTATTAAAACATTGTTGGCCCTGGATACAAAATAAAATCCCCAAATTTGCATTTTTAGTACTTTTGCTTTCTTGACCTTTATTTGAATTTCAGACTAAGCTTTACCAAACAACAGAATTTACACAGTCACTAGCCAATCACAATCCTCATTATGGAATCTATGCAGTGCATTTGTTTCCTAGGAAACCGACCAGAGCACAGACAGAGTGCAATTTCAGAGTAGCAAAAGAATTCTCCAACCGTGGTGGTAAGTAAAGTCCATACATAAATCAGCTGATCAGAAAGAAGCAAACTCAAGAAGTGTCAGAGAAGAGCTAAGTGCCATGGAAACTTTCTTAAAGGGAAAAGAAAAAGAAAGGAAACCTGTGGGACGTCTTTGGGTAGCTAAGTAGATCCCCCGAGTAAATATTATGAGCAGGTTTCTTTATAAACACAAACTGTCATAAAATAAACTGTTCAAAATAAATGGCTTCTCTCCAATCTTCAGCTTCTCTATTTCTGACGGTATTTAGGAGGGGAAAGCTTCTTCAGAGCCAGCCTCGTACATCTGGTACCAGGATATTAATCCAAGAATGAATTCTTCTTTCAGCGAGCAGCTTGTACCCTTAGTGCTCGAGATGACAAATCCTGCAATGAGCAGTTTCTGTCACACCCCTCATGCAGGCTCACTTCCCCGCATGACCACAAAGAGAGTCGGTCAGGGGATGACACCACAGGACCAAAAGTCACAGGTCTGTTCCTGCCCAGTTTTCTACTTTACTGCCCAGTAGTGAGCACAGGGAAGTACTGGAAAAGCTTGTAGTCTTTAAAGTCTCCAAGATTTAACTGAGGACAGCTTAGAGAAACAAAGCGCAGTTAAATATCAGCTTCATTTTAAAGGCCAATTTACACAAATTCACATTTTCTGCAAGGAATATTTGTTGTGAGGGTTTAAAAAAAATAAAAGAAGCATCAGGACAAAAAATTAATTTGTTTGTCCTCTCAAAATGAGTTAAAAAATATGTAAGCCTCACCGGAATGCTTCTGATTACACCATTGTTAGTTATACAGAAAGAAAAATAGTAACATTTACACCCCAGTCAAAAAGAAATGAAAAGGCAAGGTATTATCTCTCAGCCAGTGCAGATAAAGACACTATAGTGCTGTGCTAATCCAAGAAAACTGTCAGGCACAACTATTACTTTGCCAAAGCATTCCCAACACAGACGCACTGTTGATTTTTTTCCCGTTTACACAGAGATGCTTTGTTAAGTCTTATCGCTACCACTGACAATGTAATAAATACACAAACGATTCAGTTTGTTAGCCTGTTTTGGTTTTTTTTTTTGTTTGTTTGTGTTTTTTTATTTCTATCAGTGACAAAGAGCTGCTACTTTGTGGTTTCTAGAACTCTGTGTTCCTGATAACAGACCTAATTCAAGATTCCTCTTTAAGCTATTCATAAGGGAAAGGAGAGGTTTAGGCCAAGGATGGACCAGAGCCATACACTACGTTCTGTGCCTCTGTATAGTTTAAATTCATTTACCTAATCTAGACCGGAAATAACAGCAGGACATAATAAAACCTGGTCAACTACGGTAGTAGATGAAGCTGCTTCTAGACATAAGTATGCATGAATGTATAGTCCAATAACATAAAAATTCAGTATGCAACATCGTCAATCTAATGTAACTGGGGCAAGAATCTAGGGTAAATTTTTCTTCCACAAAAATCACTATTTTAAGCATATTAAACTCTTTATGATAAAAATAGTGTACCTGAAAAAAAGTGAACTGTATTTTTTCCTTGAATTTTTAACAACTTAATGGAAATTTAAGTAGTTTCCCCAGCATAATAATATTTGTCCTTCTAACTTAGTTTTAAGGAAGCTCCCACTTTCTCCAAAGGCTGTACCTGAAATGATGCTATTAAAACTATGTAAAAAATATATATATAAAAAAAACCTTCCCAGGTAACAGTCAGACTCATGTATGTCAATCTGAATCCTCACAGAGTAGGCAAAAAATAATTGTCCAAGAGAGTAAGGAATAAGCAGATTAACATAAGGACATAACCCCATACCTACATACAAAACATTAGTCTGTGAAATGAATTTCATGAATGTTCATTAGACTTCGTTTATTATTTGACTACCTATGAACACGTAGCAACTGTTCACACAGTTAGCAAGCTAATCAAATATGAAAAATCAGAACTACTACCTTACACCTTTCAAAGCACCATATCTACCATTTCCAGCCTAGCCCCTGGTTTGCATGCATGGAATATATAAATGCATCATATAAAAATAAAGAAATACAGATGGGGAAAATCACTTCTAACATCACGTTCTCCTCATACGTTGTGAAGAGTCTCCTGTCTTAAAACGGAAAACAAAGGTTTTAGCCTGCATGGAAAGACCTATTGTGTTTTACTCTCTAATCACTCTGACACTCCAGTTAACCATCTAATAGGTAGACTATACTACCAGTGCTAATCTTCAACGACCATGGGGGGGGGGGGTGAAAAAAAACTTTATTTCAAAACTTCAAAATCAAAATAAATGCAATTATTAAAAAGAAACCAGTCGTGTTCGATCCCCCCCAATTTAAACCAGTATCTGACCTTTAGATATTAAAATTAAAGATAGCTGTAAGAAAACCATAAACATTTTTTGTTTGTTTGTTTTGATCTGGTCAACCCAGCCTCCTCTCCCCAGGACACACCGGCTTTCTTGATCTATTTGATAACAAATACAAATCACTGTGCGCAGCCTCAGATCGGGGGGAGCCTTTCGGAGAAAGCCCTCCTCCGTTAGAAACAATAAATAAGGGAGCCCAAGCGCCGCACGTTCCTTCACACACCCCACACGCACCCCCCCCCCCCCGGGTGCCTCCCGACAACCAAGCTAGCCAGGGCAGAATCCCCCAAAGCGCCTAAGACTCTGCAACTAGCAGGGCAAACCGTGCGTCCCTCCTCCTTCCCGCCCTCCCGCCAGGCTCGAGGACGCCGGCTCAGAGACAGTCGCCCTCCGAGACGCCGCGGGCCGCGAACCCGCGCGCGCCCGGCTCTGCGCCCGCAGACCCCTCCGCCCCTAGCGCCCTCCCGCCTCGCTGGCCCCGGCAGACAAAAGGAGGGTTCGGCGGGTCACGGCGCGGCCGCCCACACACAAAAGAGGCCCCGCGCCCGCTGGCTCGCCAGCCCCGCGCGGGCTCTCACCCACCTGCAGGTGTCTGTGCGTCTGTCCATAGGAACGCGGGCGACGGGGCCTGCGGGAGCCGGGCGGCCCGGGCTGGACGGGGCGGGACGGCGGGGCGGAGAAGGACGACAGCTCCACGGCCGGAGGCCCGGGCGCTGGAGCCGGTGGAGTGGGAAGGGCACTCCCCCCGCGGGCCGCGCGGCGGGTGACGGCGGTGGTGCGGTGGGGGGGGGGGAGCGCGGGCGCCAGCCTAGCTCGGCCACCGGCGCGCGCCGCTCCGTGCGCCCGGGGCTCCGCGCGCCGGGCTTGGAGCGCGGGGGCGGGGCCGCGCGGGGCGGGGCCGGAGAGGGGCGGGGCGGGGGCTCGGACCCCGGCTGGAGCAGGCACCGGAAGCGTTCGGCGGGCGACGGGACCTACAGGAAGTGTGCAGCGACGCCCGCGGAAGGCGCTCGACCCGCGGCGCTCGCTGCCCTCAGGTGGCGAGGGCCAACCTCCTGCCACCGACACGCGCGGCACTGAGCCCGCCGAGCTCGGTTCCTGCCGCTCCGACAGGTACGGAACCCGCGGTCCCTTCCAAATTTCCCTGCGGGTCGTGGGTCCCCCGTCTCCGCACTTCAACCTAAACACTGGCAAGCAGTAAGCAGAGCCTGCTCGCTTTCAGATGTGTGCCCGGTGGTCTGCAACGCACAGAGTACTCACCCCCATGGTGTCCTAACGCCCCACCGCATCTCACACACACACACACACACACACACACACCTACCTGTAAACGGGACTTCTTTGGAAAAAAGGATGTTACACGGTGTTAAAGATTTTAACTTCGTGATTATTAACCGTTAAAATGTTGCAGACCAGAGCCAAGTTATCGTGGAGTTTTATCACACACATACACACACCTACCTGTAAACGGTACTTCTTTGGAAAAAAGGATGTTACACGGTGTTAAAGATTTTAACTTCGTGATTATGAACCATTAAAATGTTGCAGACCAGAGCCAAGTTATCGTGGAGTTCTTTTTTTTCCGTTCCTTTGGAAGCCATTTATTGCCCGCTATGTGTCAAACGTATAATACCCTCGTGCCTAACGAAAACCTTTAAAATATTCTTAACAGAGGCTGCGGAGACAACTCTGTGGCTAAGAGAAACTGGCTGCTCCTCCAAAATACCCAGGTTTAATTCCCAGTACCCACGCAGTGGCTTACAGTGGTCTGTCACTCCAGTTCCTGGGGCTCAGGTGCCTTCTGTAGCCTCTGCAGACGCTGACACAAATGGTGCACAAATGTACCTACAAGCAAAAACGACCGTAAATAATAATAAAATATAAAATAAAATGTGTTGTTAGCTGATTACTCGCTTCCACCAAACCAAATGCTACAAATCTCAGCATCTGAAACCTGTAAGTCTGGCCCGCTTTGCTGTAATCTGTCTGTCTATAAGTGCCTTGGTTTTGTGACTTTCTTTGTTCTGCAAGTGATTTAAAAAAAAAAAACTCATGTAACTACTTCCACAGTGAAGAGTGTCTTTGGGGGCAATCTGAATCCATGTTGCTGGGCCATCATCACGCATATTTTTGGCTCAAGAATAGACTATCTCTGAGCTATGATACATATTTAATCCTGGGAACTCTACAAAGCTGATGCACTAACATTACTATAGTATGGAAAATTTGTTAAAATTTTGAATTGTTTCTACATGTATGGGTGTTTTGCATACTTGTATGTCTGTGTACCACCTGTGTGCCCGGTGCCCTTGGAAGCTACAAGATGGTGTCAAATGCCCTGGACAGTTAAAGATGTTTATGGGCTTCTGTGTGGGTGTTGAGAAATCAAACCCAGGTCCTCTGGAAGAGCAGCTAGTGATCCTAACCATTGAGCCATCTCTCCATCCCCACATTTTTTTTCATGTACACACTGAGAAATGATATTGCAGTTCTTAAAAGTACCTAGTTTATAGCCAGGCGGTGGTGGTGCACGCCTTTAATCCTAGCACTCGGGAGGCAGAGGCAGGCGGATCTCTGTGAGTTCGAGGCCAGGCTGGACCGATAGCCTCCAAAACAATACAGAGAAACCCTGTCTCCTAAAATCCAAAAAAAAAAAAAGTACCTAGTTTCTTGTTGGAGCTCAGATTCATTCAGAGCAGCCTAGCATGAGTCCATGTTCTTAACTCCTCTTTGCTTCTTATAGCACTCAGCAATTTCCAGAACTTTTATAATGATAGTAAGTCATTATTAGGGCATACCGTGGTTACCCATAGGTACTACCCACACCTTGGCCTCACACCTCCTGTGATAGGAAATCTCAGTCACTGCTCCCTCTGAGAATAGGACAGCAGTTGGAGGCAGCAGGTCCAGGGTCACCCCAGACCTGTCAGGTAACGTACATTGCCACACCAGTCAGTTCTCTCCTACGTGGCAGATTCCACTAGTCTCTCACAATCATGAACTGTGTAAGGCTGATAATCTTTTTTTTTAAATATATTTTATAGCCAGGCGTCGGTGGAGTACGCCTTTTAATCCCAGCACTCAGGAGGCAGAGGCAGGCGGATCTCTGTGAGTTTGAGGCCAGCCTGGTCTACAGAGCGAGTTCCAGGACAGCCTCCGAAACAATACAGAGAAACCCTGTCTCGAAAAACCAGATAGATAGATAGATAGATAGATAGATAGATAGATAGATAGATAGATAGATTGATTGATAGATTGATAGATACATAGATAGATAATTTTATGTCTATTTTGCCTGCACGTATGCCTGTATACCACATTCAGGATGGCCCACCAAGGTCAGAAAAGGGCATTGGAACTGGAGTTAGAGGCCATTGTGAGCTGCCATCAAAACCTGGGTCTTCTGGAAGAGCAGCAGGTGCTCTTGAAGCTGAGCCTCCTCTCCAGCCCCTCAGGCTGATGTCCTTAACCTGGTTCATTATCAACACTCTGGTCTGAGCTAAATAAATAACATTTTTTTGTGAATGCTCTGAGTCAGTAAAATCTACTTGAAGCAAAGCAAAACTCACGTAGTTGTTGAGGAATAATCTTTTTTATACCGAAGATTTGTCACTCGGAGGGGGAAAAAGCTGAATGACCAATAATAGCTAGGCAGAATTTTCAGGACAGAGAGGACGCTGGGAAGAAGGGTGAATGTAGGAGGAAACTTAGGACTCTGCCATTAGCCACGTGGTGCTCTAAAGATGCTTAAGGATGTGGAAAAGAAAGGGCGGAACTGCGCTGCTAACCTCACCTACTTTGAGCATGACTAGAGACAGGGCATGGGTAGGGGGCATGTATGGAGGAAGGAATAAAAGACTGAGCAGCAGAGCCTCTCCCCCTCTTTTCAGCTTCCGGTTGGGGGGAACACTACTTGACTCATCTGGGTTGCTTGTTTTCTCTTGCAAGTAATTTCTACAATAAACAGTTGCCTATATCCTCAACAAGTGTGTCGTTTTTTCATTGCAGTGTCATTATTATGTAACACCCCCCTGCCAGCCACTTGGGCTCTGCCACAGTTGCAGTCCCCAAATAACACATAGGAGGCTATATTAATTATGAAGCCGTTGGCTGTTTGCTTGTTTCTTACTGGCTAACCCATAATTGTTAATCTAAGTATTTCTCTTACCAGAGAAAAGGGTCCAGACATCTTACTTCTCTGGTGGGCTACATTGTCTCTGCATGTCTCTCTTTCCCAGAATCCTCCTCAGCTCCTAGTCCCACCTATCTTGCTTCCCTATTGGCCAACAGTGCTTTATTGATATATACACAGGAGTCACCAGGCAGATAGAGAAGCAGCAGGATGGGCAGAATAAAGGTAATAAAGCCATGAGACAAAAAAATGGATTGAGTTGTAAGAGCTAGTTAGCAACAAGCATAAGCTATAAGCCAAGCATTTATAATTAATAAGAAGTCTCCATGTGGTTATTTGGGAACTGGCAGGTGAGACAAAAAACAAAAATAAAACCTGCCTTTAAAAAAGGCATTAAAAGCAGAATATTACACTGGCTCCTCAAGCTGGCTCCCCAAGCTGCCTACAAGTCTGACACACATGATGGAGGAAGGGATCCAGTTCTGCAATTGTCCTCTGACCCTCATACTCACCCCCACACACATGCACAAAATAAATGTTAAAGGGTAAATCTCAGGGCTGGAGAGGGTGTTGCACTGAAGAATTCTTCCTACTCTTCCAGAAGACCCAAGTTCAGTTCCTAGCACACATATCCTATGGCTCACAGCACCTGTAACTCCAACTCCAAGGGATCCAGCACACTTTTCTGGACTCCATGGGAACCCAAACACACCAAAACATATATACACAGACACTCAAACATAAATAAGAAATAAAAATCCTTAATAAAAATAATAAATTCATGCTGTTTTAATTAAGTTTATCATTTTGTTGGGCTACAATTACAGCTATCACATATTAGATAGATGCCAACAGTATCATGAAGAATTAAATATAATTAGATGTTGCACGTTCAATTCCAGCACTTGGGAGGCAGAAGCAGACAAATCTCTGAGTTCAAGGCCAGCCTGGTCTACAGAGCTAGTTCTAGGACAGCCAAGGCTACACAAAGAAACCCTGTCTAAAAAAAAAAAAGAAAAAAAAAGTCTTCATAAGATTGGATTGCAGTGGGCCTGTAAGGCATTTCCTTAATTAGTAATTGGTGGAGAAGGGCCAAGCACATTTTGGGTGGTGGCATCCCTGGGCCGGTAGTCGTGGGTTCTATAGGGATCAAGCCAATAAGCAGTTATCCTCCATGGCCTCTGTATTAGCTCCTGCCTCCAGCTTCCTAGTTTTTGTCCTGCTGGACTGCCAGGATACCTTTCTATCAGAGCTGTAATACTTACATTTAGGTGCCTAAATCCAATACTGACTACTTCCCTACCTATTTACCATCAGTTTCCCCTCAGTTCATCCAGGAGCTCCAATAACTCAGACCATCCTTACCCTCCAGGGCCAAATAGACTCACTGGGCCACCATAAATGTTACAAAATCAGCAAGGATCAGATTCACTAACAGCAGAAAGAGGTAGTCTTTGTCTCTTCCTCAGGAAAGAATGTTTCAATGTCAACCGGTCAGGTGTAGTAAAGGACTAGATCTGACAACTTGACAACTCTAGACAGATCTCCGAAAATGTTAAGAAACAGCTTGGTGCCTCTGGGTAGTGGCTCATTGACAGTCCATTATGGAATTGGATACTACACTTTTTAACCAACTTTCTTCTGCTTTTCTTGATTCTACTATTTGTTCCCTGCTTTATAAACTTCTTATTTAGATTTCAGCAACATATTCAAAAGATCTCTAACCAGACTTTTAATCAGTTGCTATTACAAGATTACTGATCCCTAGCGACAGAGTCACAGGCCAGCAACTCCCAATTATACCGATAGTGAAGATCAAGTTTGCCCAAAGGACTTTGACACCCTGATTCAACAGGAAGTAATCTAATGACAACATTGCCCCCCTTATCAATAATAAATAAAAGGAGGGAATGTAAGCCCCTCCAGTGACATCAGTGGCCAGGCCCCACCCCCAGGACTTCTAACTACTAGCTTCCACCCACATAACACTCTTAACTGCCCTAACTCCTAGACCCTACCCAAACCCTACAGAGCAGAAAAGCCCTGGCTCTGAACATGAAATCCCTGGATAGCTCAATCATGAAAAGTTACACCCCGGGGGGGGGGGGAGGACACCGGAGGAGGGGAGGGAAAGGGAGAGGGACCTCGAACTGACTTGTGAAGCAACCTTGTTTCTTATCTAAATTTAAAATGGAAAATAAAAAAGAAAAAAAAAAGAAAAGTTACACCCCACCTTCCCAAGAAAGTCTATATAAGCTCTGTATCTTGTGCTGTTTGCTATTTCTCACCAGAGCACAGGCAGTCACCCTCTGGTTTTTTTCCCCTCCCAATAAATCTCTTATGTGAGGTCTGGTGTGTGGTGTGACTTTGTGGTATTCCTAGACTCCTTGCTGCCAGGATACCCTTCCACCTGAGCTGTAAGACTTACATTATGGATTGGGTGGTTCAAAGAAAACACTAGCAAAAGTGATTTTTTTCTGAGATGCTAAAATAGTGTACTATACGTTTTTTATTATGGCTGATAACTATAAAGTATGTTGGTCACTAGGATGAAAAGCAAGAGCACTATATCATAAACCATCATTGGAGGAGAAAAGTTTTGTTTGGGTCAAAGGTGACAGGGCACAACAGGGTTTCAAGGAACTTCTGTTAAGCCCCCAAATGATGTCAATGCAACAAATGTATCAAATGAATTATGGCACTGATACAATAAACCTCGAAAACATTATGCCAAGTGAAGGAAGCAAGAAAGTGATATGAGCCGGGCATTGGTGGTGCACGCCTTTAATCCCAGCACTCGGGAGGCAGAGGCAGGCGGATCTCTGTGAGTTCGAGGCCGGGCTAGACCGACAGCCTCCAAAACAAAGAAACCCTGTCTCGTAAAAAACTAAAAAAGAAAAAAAAAGTGATATGACTCTACTGACCTGTGTCTAGAATAGACAAGTCAGTAGCAAGAAGAAGTTGTTGTTGCATAGGACCGAAATATTTTGTTGATGCAGATATCCACTAAAGTGTATGTTTTGGGGAGGGTGAGAAAACATTTTGATTGGTGCCTGAAAGATGGCTTGGTACATAAAGGCACTTGTCTCCAAGCTCGGTGGCCTGAGTTCAATCCAGAGGTCCCACTGACTCCCCACTAAGTGTTTCCCTGACTCCACAAAGGAAAGCAGGAACAGAGGGAGAAGGGAAAATATTTTTTGTTTGTTTTGGTTTGGTTTTTGGAGACAGGGTTTCTCTGTGTAACAGCCCTGGCTGTCCTGGAACAAGCTCTGTAGACCAGGCTGGCCTCAAACTCAAAAATTCACCTGCCTCTGCTTCCCGAGTGCTGTGATTAAAGGGTATGCCATCACTGCCTGGGTTTTTATTGTTGTAATTCATTGTAATGATGGTTGCTTAACTTGGAAGGAGGGGCAGAACAGTGTATTACATGTTATATATAATGATTTATATATTAGATAAAACTGGTTTTGTATTTTTACATTTTTGAGACAGGTCTTACTGTGTTATACAGGCTGAGATATCCATTCTTACCATTAGTATTCACCATTATATTGGCTTAAGAGTATAATATGACAAGAAAAAGAAATAAAAGGCAATGAAAAAAAGAGATAAATTCATCTTTATTTGAAGATAACATGATTTAAAGACTCTGTTTTTTAAAAGCTGCTGAAGGTAGTGAGTAGACTATAAGCATTAGGCATACTCACAAAATTAGTTACATTTCTGTATGTTAGCCCTTGAAAACTGAATTTAGCTAGGCATGGTGGTTCATGTCTGTCATTATAGCTCTAAGCAAGCTGAGGCAGGAGGACTGACCTGAGTTCAAGGCCAGTTGGGTTACCCCAGCTAGAAAAAAAAAGGGAAAAGCTGAAATTTAAAGATATTTAGACTAGTATCAATATTACAAAATGCTTCTGACAAGTTAAACAAAATTTTTTGTTTGTTTGTTTGTTTTTATGAGACGGGGTTTCTCTGTGTTGTTTTGGAGGCTGTCAGTCCAGCCTGGCCTCAAACTCACAGAGATCTGCCTGCCTCTGCCTCCCGAGTGCTGGAATTAAAGGTGTGCGCCACCACCGCCCGGCCAAGTTAAACAAAATTTTGCCTGCAAATATTATATACTGAAGTCTATAAAATACTGCTGACAAAAACAAAAGTTCTTAAAAAAAAAAGCTGGGGCAGTGGGGGTAAGAAATATATTGCAGTTATTCACCCAACTGTCTTTGTGAAGATAAAGTTCATTTTTACATGAGCAGTTTGGAAACAGCTAATTCTATTGCTTGATAATGATCAGTCATTCATGATATGTAGTTTTCCTGCAAGAAAGCAATGAGTGAAATAAAGGTTTAGAGGGAAAAATTGAAAAAAGAAAAACCCACAATATATTAGGATATCACTTAATAAAACTTGTCCTTGATTGGTTAGTTGTTTTAATTACAATTTCAAGTCTTATAGATACAGAAATTCTACTTTTTCCAGAACAAACACATATGTCCTTATAAGACAGTGGAGGAAACAACAGATGTTTAACTGCTGAGCTTTGCACTTCTGAGAAAAATCAGTGTTTTTGCTCCTTGTCCTTCATAGTCTGGAATTCATCTGGGTCATCAGCTTCTCCAACTTGATTGCTAGAGCCATGTTTCCTTTAATCTTCAGTTTACCTGACATGAATGCCATGGTTGGCTTTAGTTTCCCTAAAATGAGAAATGAGACAGAACGAAGCATTAGTGCCCTTTGTGGCATGCCACTTCAAGAACATGCATTCTAAGAATTTCCCAGAGTTATATAAATCCCAGAGCACAGAAATTTCTATTACAGCATTGCATATTACTATCCAGGGAATCTAAGTTCCTGATTTGGATGTTAACAATATCCCATTATACAAAAGATAAAGTAAGAAACAGCCTGCAGAAAGTAATGGCAAAAAGCTACAGATACTACCTACATTCATACATATGCTGGTTACAGCACTCTAAAGAAATGTAGCCCTCAGATGAGTTTTGGTAGGTAAATACTATGTTATTTAATTTTCCAATATGTTACAGTTCATTAAACTCTAACAATTTCTCAACTTTAAATTCAAGAAATCAAATGGTACAAAAAAAATCTATAAAATAGTTACAAATGATTATTAAGATGGGCATGGCAACACACAGCTTGTAACACCAGCCCTTGGGGGCTGAGTCAGGAGGATCATAAGTTCAAAGCCAGCATGAGCTAAACAGTGTCATTATATCAAACAAACAAAAACTAAGACCATTAACTACCTAGTGTTTAGGAGCTGGGAGATGACTCAGTGGGTAAAGTACTTGCTGCACAAGTGCAAGGACCTCAATGCAAACCCTCAGAACCTTTGTAAAGCTGAGCACTGTAGTGCACACCTGTAATCTAGTGTTCCTACTTTGAGATGGGAGGCAGAGATAGAATCTATGGAAGCTTATAGACAGCTAGCATAGCATATGCAACAATGAACAAAAACAGCCTGTCTAATGGTGGACGGTGAGGACAGACACCCAAAGCTGTTCTCTGACCTTTATGCATGCACAGTGGTGCCCGAACATGTGTATTCAAATAAACATGCAAGCACAAGTACACTACAAATTTTTATTTTTAGTATATTGTATGTAGGACTTTAGAAATGGCTCTATGGTTAAGAACTTATACAGTTCTTTAAGATTTGAGTGTATTTCCTTGTACCCATGTCCAGTGGCTCACAAATGCCCATCACTCCAGTTCCAGAGGATCTGATTCTTCTGGTCTCTATTGTACACACATGATCATGCACGCACACGCACACACACACACACACACACACACACACTAAGAAATGATTTTCTTTTTAATAGTGTTGTGGGATATTTGTACACTGTGTGAAAATGAGTTGCTGTGATTGCTATAATAAAAAAAACAGACAGACAGTAGCTAGGGGGAAGAGTATAGGCAGGACTTCCAGGCAGAGAAAACTCTGGGAAGAAGGGCAGGATGCACCAGAAGACACAGACAGGAAACAGGAGGTGTGGACGTAAGAATGATAACACCACATGGCAGGATGTAGATCAATATAAATGAGTTTAAGTTATAAGAGCTAGTTGGGGGGCTGGAGAGACGGCTCAGAGGTTAAGAGCACTGACTGCTTTTCCAGGGGCCCTGAGTTCATCCCAGCAACCACATGGTGGCTCACAACCATCTGTAATGATATCTGGTGCCCCCTTCTGGCCTGCAGGCATACATGCATGCAAAACACTGTATACATAATAAATAAATAAATCTTAAAAAAAAAAAAAGCTAGTTGGGAACAAGCTTAAGCTCAGGCCCAAGCTTTCATAATTAGTAATAAGTCTCTGTGTTGTTATTTGTGAGCTGTGAGCTGGCAACCCAAAGAAAAATCCAGCTACAATATACTCTATGACACAAAAGTACGTTGGCATTTTTCTCTTCTTTCTTATATGTATTTATTATGTATACAGTGTTCTGTCTGCATGCTTGCCTGAATGCCAGAAGAGGGCACCAGATCTCACTATAGATGGTTGTGAGCCACCATGTGGTTGCTAACTAAGAATTGAACTCAGGCCTTCTAGAAGAGCACTCAATGCTCATAATCTCTGAACCATCTCTCCAGCACCCAATGTTGGCACTTCTCAACCAGAGAAATGTAAACATTAAAAAATAGAATTATAAGGTGAGAGGTGGCAGACCAATCTCTGAATTCTAGGCTAGCGTGGCCTACAGCACAAGTTCCAGGACAGCCAGGGCTATACAGAGAAACACTGTCTCAACGCTCCACACCCCCCCAACCCCGTAGCTCTAACAAATATTAGCTCTGTAGAGAAAAGGAACTTTGCTTTCCTTTCTACTATTCAGTGTTAGTTCAATCTGGAGCAGAGGGTAAACAGGAAGACTGAGGCTCAAAGTCATACAGCTTATATACAACAGTGTTTCAATTCCAATTCCTAGCCAGGTATGCCCAACTAGAATTTTTTACTTCCTTATATTCTGACAGTTTAAGCACTGCTCATATCTCCTAGAAGGCACAACATGTGTCTGGTATATTAGTGGCTATCCCACCTCTCACCTGTGACATATGCAAGCTCAAAGCAAAAACATGCAAAAAGCAATTTGATGTTAATAGGAAGGAAATGCAGGTACAGAAGAAAGACCCTGAAATAATTCATGACGTGGAGATTATTAACAATAATTATTATTAACAATAAATAATAATGTTGATGCTGGAGAGATGGCTCAGCCTGGTGACCTAAGTTCAATACCCACAACCAATATAAAGGTGAGGACAGGATCTATATAAAGTTGTCCTCTGACCTCCATAGTATGCATACCCATCCACCCCATACTCACACCTAACAAAACTAAAGGTAAAAGCTCAAAATGGATCACAGACCTAGAGGTAAGAGCTAAAAATTTAAAGTCTTATAAGAAAACACAGGGGAATTGTGGATTAAATGAGGCTGTCCCCTGCAGGCTCACGTTTGTGAACACCGGGTTCACAGTTAGGAGGTTACAGAACTCTAGAACATGAAGCTTGTTAGAGGAAGCAGACCATTGCAAGGGGGCTGTGAGAATTTATAGCCTTGTCCTACTTCCAGTTTGCTCTCTCTGTTTCTTATGATCGCTCAGCTCTGTCCACCTGCTGCCATGCCTCCCCCACCATTACGGGTACTCCCTCCAGAACCATAAGATGAAACAAACTCTGTGTTATGTAAGCTGCTTTCAGTCATGGTATTTTACCACGGCAACAGAAAACTAACTAATACAAAGGGTAAGTCTTTATACCCTAAGTTTGGCAAGGAGTCTTAGATATGACACTAAAGCATAAACAACAACTAAAAGATAAATTTATACTACTACCAATTTTTTTTTGGTTTTTCAAGGCAGAAGAAAGTATTTGCATATAAGACACAGAAATATAAAAATAATTCTTGCCAGGCAGTGGTGGCAGATGCCTTAAATCCCAGCACTCAGGAAGCAGAGGCAGATGGATCTATGTGAGTTCAAGGCCAGACTGTTCTACAGAGCAAGTTCCAAAAGAGCCGATGCTACACAGAGAAAACCTGTCATCTCAAAAAAAAAAAAAAAAAACAGAAACAAAAACAAATTTACTGAACATTGCTATTTAATCTCTAGTAAAAAATAGTTTTTGATACACCAAACTACTACAAATGACTAGAAGCAAAATTTCATGAAGATGCTATAATGTACAATTTGAAAAGCACATCAAATATAATAATGGTATAATTTTGCTCTATAAGCATATGTGTATGTGTACACACACACACACACACACACACACACACACACGCGCGCGCACGCTTATCAATGAACACTTAATACTACTACAAAAGTTAAACAGGGTAGGGAGATGTTTGGTGGTTAAGAGTGCTTGCTGCATAAGCTGGAGGACCTGAGTTTGAACCCCCCTGTGTAAAAAGCTCAGCATGTCTACACATGTGCCTGTAACTCCAGAGCTGTGAGAATCTGAGATAGGAGGGTTGCTGGGGTTTGCTAGCTGGCAGCCAAACTCTGGGTTTCAGGAGAGACTCTGCCAGAAAGGAATATGGAAGAGCATGATAGGGCGTGGCACCAGATATACTCATTTGGCCTCTATGTGCATGTATTTGCTTGGGCAATTGCACATATGCATAAAGACTACACACACAATAGTTAAACTTTGATCACTGTGTCCATATACAATATAGCCCCAACCAGCATCCTTTATTAGAACTGGAAAACAGGACTTGGGAGGGCACAGAATATACTGATACTGTTTAACAAGATTTAAAATGAACAAACATATGAGGAATGCTTTATAATTCATTACATGAAAGATTTTTACATTTGAATATTATAATGCCTTAATTGAGAATGCTGTTCCTAATTTTTTAAGAGTTTGTGTTAACTTACCACTTTGAGTAGTATTCTAAGAGGAAAAAAATAGAACAAATCACCCTTAAAATTATTTTGGCACTTTTAGAACTAACTAGGCAGAACATAAGATCATGCAAAGGATTCCCTGTAATAGAGATCCCACAAAAGCGGGTACTAGGGCACAAGAAAGAACTGGCCTCTGACTCCTTTTACAGCATCTGGTGAGACTGACTCATGACTTGACTTTAATAAGTGAGCTATTATTGACTTCTGAGGCTCTATCAACTGTGCTTTGAAACTATAGCACCTTAATTCAGGTAGAATGAAGCCTACTTAGTAATCCTTTTTATTTATCTCTCTGTTCCCAAAATTACATTATTAGCTTCTCGGTGATAAAAAAGAAAGATCTACCATCAACTGTCCATTTGTCAGATGAGGTACAGTGGCAGCAGAGGCAACCTAAGAACAGCCTCCCCAAGACTTGTCAGCATATTAGATATATAGATAGCACCCATTGTTAGGAAGATTTCTGACCCTTGATTATCCAGAAAAAGAGAAAAGAGAATATTCAAAAATTTTCCATTTAAAACAAGTGAGCTAAGAGAGTTGAAAACTTACCTGAAAACATTTTGACAAAGTCATCAGTGGTCATACTCATCACCACATCTGCCCGGTCGGAGGGCTCTCCATGTCCAACTTTCCCACCCTTACTCTTCAGATCAAGAAACCATGTGCCACCATCTTCACCTGCACAGATAGATATGTGGAAATAAGTATAATCATTCCTACAGTTTTAACAGTCTTCTAACATGCTGCCCCTGGTTCAAGTCCTCAAGCTACCATCAAACTCAGCACTTACTATGGTTCAAGTACTGTGCTCGGTTCTGAAGACCATTCAATAACAAAAAGAAAAGCCAGGTTCTTCTCCAAAGAGGAAACTGAGGTGATGTAGGTATGTTACTAGAGTGAAAAAAGCTGGAGTAGTGGGATTCACACAGAAGTTACAACAGCGCGTAAGTGGGGCTCTAGTGAAGGAAATGGCTTAGTGTTTACTGGATATAGCACTTCAGTTTGGAGATGCATGGTAGTGAAGAAAACAGAGGCTGTTGAGGAAGCCTAGAAAAGGAGGTGTTTCTAGAAGGAAAAAGTGGTCAACAGCCTCAGATCCTGCAGAGGAGTTATAGAGGGGTGGCAAATACCCACTAATAGCACAGTTATCATCCAGGACTGTGATAAAAACAAATTCTGTAGAGCAAAAGAGAAACTGGAGGGACAATGTTCAACAGAGTAAGCTGCAGGTCAAACTATGTATGACTCTGAAAGAGAAAGACAGGGCGCATGGTTTGGGATTACTTTTACCTTCTGTTTTAACAACAGAATATAGTTGAGAACATTAACTGCAGGGTGTGCACATTGAAGAAGGGGCAGAATGATTCCTGAGGAGGCAGGAGAAAATGGGACCTACACCTCTGACACTGCTAGTGTCATCCAGGGACTACTTTACTGTCACCATCTGTCAGAAATGGAAAAACTCAGATGTCCCCTACCGACTAGATCAAAAGCTCCATCTGAGGAAGAGTCTGGGTACAGTTGTTAATCAAGCTCGGGATGCTCTGATGGATAGCTAAGCTCTGTCCCACTATGAGAAAAGGAGGGCGATGATGGCTGACTCATATCTGATGTCAGGGACTGGCAACAGAAGTCTCGAGTGCTGTTTAGACCTATCTCAAGAGGGAAAATAGATGAATCCCTTCAAGTCCAGCTGATGTTTTTGTTTTTGTCTAACAAGATTGGGCAGCTTTGATGCAATTCAGGGGCAACCAGATAGTTAGATTCATCCAGAACTAGCCTTTGATACATAGGTCATAGAATACACATGAAAAGTTCAGCAAGTTTAGGATATCAGGGAGAAAAAAAGCTGAAGCAACGGACCATGAGTTCAGAAACAAAAAGGAAGTTAAAAAGAAAGGTAGATTAAGATATGACAGAGAACAGCATAAAGAATGACAGAGTTTGCATAAAGTGGAACTGAAGTAGTTCTTAAAACTACCATTAACCTGTGTTACTTTTATTATGTAGGAAAACATGTAAAGAGTTGTTGGTTTGGTTATTAGAGACAGGGTTTCTCTGTGTAGCCCTGGCTGTCCTGGAACTCACTCTGTAGACCAGGATCTCAAACTCAGAGATTCATGTGCCTCTTCCTCACGAGTTCTGGAATTAAAGGGGTGTACCATCACTGCCTGGCTCATGTATAGAGGTTTTCATACTGTATTCATACTGACCTAACTCAAAGATGAAAATGGTCACAATGCATATGTCCATCTATGTAGGATTTCCTCTCTATTATATGTGCCAAGGAGTTATTTTAACTCAAAGTATATGCCAATACTGTTTTCTAGGTTTCCATATAAATAAATCTAACTCAAAAACAAATCAATAGTTATTTGCTGTTTTTGAGAGTCTATATTCAATACTCCTAGATATAGCTAACAATCCAGGTACCAAAGGCCGGTTTTCTTCCTACTGTTTCATAAAAGCCCTAGGTCACCCGACACAATTTTCACCTGAGAGTTCAAACTGATAGACTGCTTGTGTGGCTTTAACGACATCATCACTGAGAGAGTCCTTAAGAATTCTAAATGTTTCTTCCACAGGTCCAAAATGTGGTTTTGGTGGTGGCTGTGGTGATGGCTGTGGTGATGGCTGTGGTGATGGCTGTGGTGATGGCTGTGGTGGTGGCTGTGGTGGTGGCTGTGACTGCAGTAGTGGCTCTGGCTGCCGTTGTAGATTCTCTTCTTTTACTTTTGGTACAGAATCTGGAAAATACAATTTACATAAACATCCTTAAGGTCCTGGCAGTATAAGGCCAAATACACAATTAAAGCAAGACAGACTTGCTACCAAATAGCCCCATTTGACCAAATGATTTTAAATGCATTAAGTGACCCATAGAAGCAGAAATCTACGTGATGGGAAAAGCAGCAACCCTGTCATTTATGGCTGGGAATACACACAAACACACACACACACACACACACACACACACACACACGCACACACACTACCTAGACCCACACACAATCTACTGTATGAATCTAGGAAGTAACTCTATGGTACACAGACTCATCCTAATAAACACAGGTCTGCTTGTGCTTTGGCTCAAGAGAAATCTCAAAGCAGGAACGGCTCAACCTATTTAAACAAAGAGAAAGGCACTCACATATTTAAACCTCTGGATGACTCTGAGCTTATCCTTCTGTTTCACAGATGCTGTTTTTAAGAACAACTCAATAGTATTCTTCCTTCCCATCTTTTTAGCTCCAAGTTCAGATCTTAAAGCTTCCAAAGGAGAAGAGCAGAAAGTAGAGAAGAGGGAGTTCTATGGAGGTGGAACAAGTCTATTGGAAGAGAAATCCTATGGGAAAGGAGCCCTGTGGTGAACCCCATAGTAAGGGAAAGAATTCTGTATTGCTGCCTCATGGACAGTACATGCCCACAGCTAGGCTAATAAAAATGGGGAAGACAGGGACTAGAGAGATGGCTCAGCAGTAAACAGCATGTGCTGCTCTTCCACAGGACCTGGGATGGGTTCTCAGCACCCACATGGTGGTTCATAACCGTCTGTAACTTCCAAGGGATAAGATGTCCTATTCTGGTCTCAGCAGGTACTAGGTACACACGTGGTATATATACATGCAGGTAGGTAGGTAAAAACTCATACACATAAATAGGAAAGGCAAGGATAGGATTTTCCTTAGCAAAGGTGAAGACAGGCCTACATTTGGCCTTGTACCATGGTCCTAGCTGACAGCCCTCAGAGAAAGGAATTCATTAGGATAGAGCAAAAGCAATGAATATGTCCCTGCCATCTCATTATAATAGCTCCAAGATAGCTCCTATAAGGGAACAGATTAACAAGAATGAAAGAATAACCCAATGCTATGAAAACAGTATCACACTGGGGTAGGAGTGAATTATGCTGAAAAAAAAATCTGAGGTCTATTTATACAATCAGCTTACTACAAAACTCGAAAATTCCTTCACATGAAAGCTATACTTATGATGTGTTGGTCTCTACTGTAGCACACACACCACCATGGAGGAGGGTGTAGTCAGCCGTCTAGCACCTTCCTCTGCTTTTGTTGTAAGCCCAAAGCTTCTGTGAACCCTCAGGTATCACAGACACACTATGTGAAATGGGTGCATGCCCACTTGGGGACCCAACACCCTCTTCTGGCCTCTGCAGCACCAGGCATGCATATGGTATATAGACATACAGGCAGGCAAAATCCCCATACGCATAAAAAATAATAATAAAATAAAGTTACACTCTTACCACGTGGTTGTGTTTCCTTTATAGCTGCATCTGGGTATTCATCTAAGAAGAAATCTGGTATCAAGGGATGGCCTGAAAAAATTAACCACCAAATAATAAGGTTGTAATAATTACATAAAATGATTATATTAATATTTAACAATTTTTAATAAAATTCATATCTTTTTTTAAAAATTCTTTTGTGTCAATGGAAAGGGCCCCCAGATAACTTGAACTATTTGATCTTATTTGTTAAATTATTTTTCTGTAATCCAGTTATCCTCTTCCCTCTATGACAAATTTCACCTTAGGATCTAATTTTATTTGTTTGTTTGTTTTTGCTTTTTAACGACAGGGTTTCTTTATGCAGCCTTGGCTGTCCTGGAACTCACTTTTTCTTTTCTTTTGTTTGTTTGTTTGCTTGTTTGTTTGTGTCTCACTATGTAGGCCAGGCTAGTTTTTTTTGTTTTTGTTTTTTTGGTTTTACGAGACAGGGTTTCTCTGTATTGTTTTGGAGGCTGTTGGTCCAGCCCGGCCTCGAACTCACAGAGATCCGCCTGCCTCTGCCTCCTGAGTGCTGGGATTAAAGGCATGTGTCACCACCGCCCAGCCAGGCTAGTTTTGAAAACTCTGTTTCCCAAGTGCTGGAATTAAAGGCATATACCACCATACCTGGGGAAATCTGCCTTGTCTCCTCTTTACTGAACTATCCATTCAGTTCATTAGCCCATTTACTGATTGGGAGATCTGAGGGGATATTTAAGGTTTCCAGTTCTTTATATTTTCCCCAGTACCATTGTTGAAGGGGCTGCCTTTCCCTACTGCCAATTTTTAAAAACTCTGTCAAAAATTAGGTCATTGTAGCTATGTGGGTTTATCTCTGGATCTTCAATTCTATTCTACTGGAAGAAACGTCAGCTTCTGTGCCAGAACCATAATGTCTTTGTCACTACTGTTCTGTAGTATAATTTGAGGTCAAGTGTTGTGATACCTCCAGCATGGATCTGCTTTGGGTTGATTTGGTGGCTAATGGGCTCTGTCGTACTTCCCTATGAATTTTAGTACTGTACAGGGAGATGGGGATAAGAGTAAGAAGATCAATAAAATAAACTACAGAAGGGGGGAGGGAGGGAGGAAAAAGAGCAAGGGGAGGAGTGGGGAGAACATGAGGGATCAGGAAGGTTGAGGTGGGGAAGAACAGAGAAGTAGAGCAGGGAAAGAGACACCTTAATAGAGGGAGCTGTTATGGGCTTAATGAGAAACCTGGCACTAGGGAAATTCCCAGGAATCCACAAGGATGACCCCAACTAACAATCTAAGCAATAGTGGAGAGGCTACCTTAAATGCCTTTCCCCTGTAATGAGATGGATGACTACCTTAAATGCCACCCTAGAGCCTTCATCCAATAGCTGATGGAAGCAGAAGCAGAGATCCACAGCTAAACACTGAGCCAAACTCCTGGAATCCAGTCTTAGAGAGGGAGGAGGGATGAGCAAAGAGGTCAAGACCATGCTGGAGAAACACACAGAAACAGCTGACCTCACCAAGTGAGAGCACATCGTAAAGCTGGGGAACCAGCATAAGACCAAACCAGGCCCCCTGACCATGGATGTCAGTTGAGGGGCTTAGGCAGTCTATGGGACCTCTGGCAATGGAACCAGTATTTATCCTTAGTGCGTGAATGGGCTTTGGGAGCCTATTCCCTAAGGAGGGATACTCTCTCAGCCTAGATACACGGGTGAGGGCCTAGGTCCTGCCCCAAATGATATGACAGACTGATAATTCCCCTATGAGAGGCCTCACCCTCCCTGAGGAGTAGACAGGGAGTAGGATGGGGGGGATGGTGGGGGAAATGGGAGGATGGGAAGGAGAGGGAACTGGGATTGGTATGTAAAGTAAGATTGTTTTTAAATTTAAATAAAAATTAATTTAAAAAAGAAAGAACTACATATGAAAACACCATATTTAATTCATTACTCTGTATATTGTTGTTGTTGTTGTTGTTATTGTTTTGATTTTTTTGAAACAGGGTCTTTCTACATAGAGCTAGCTACTTAGGACTCACTATGCAGACCAGGGAGGCCTTGAACTCAGAGACCTGCCTGCCTCTGCCTCCTGAGTGCTAGAATTAAAGGTATGTGCCACTATGCCTGGCTGTAACCTATCATATTGCTCATTGGCCTTCTGGCTAAGACTAACTATAAAACAAAACAAATAAAGCACTTATGCAAAGCTTTTATTTACCTGTAATCCCAGCTCCAGCACCACGTCTGCCTGCCTGATGCCATCATGCTCTCCATCATGATGAACCTCTGAAACTATATGTCACCATCCCAACTAAATGTTTTCTTTCAAAAAGTTGCCGTGGCCATGGTATCCCTTCACAGCAATAGAAAACTTACCGTGTAGCTCTGGCTAGCCCAGAACTCATTTTGTGGACAAGGCTGGCCTTAAACTCATAGAGATCTGTTCAACTCTATCTCCTGAGTACTAGTATTAAAGGCAAGTGCCACCAGATCCTGCTAGATTCTGTTTGTGTGCATGAGAGTGAGTGAGTGTGTATGTGTGTGTGTGAGGGGGTGTGGTATGCACATGCATGTACGTGCCCACAGAGTCCAGAACACATAGGATCCCCTGGAGCTGGAGTTATAGGAAGCTATCAGCAGGTAACCAAACCAGTCCTCTGGCAGCAAGCATTCTTCATGACCGAGCTATCTCCCAAGCCCCCGTCTCCAAGTTTTTGGTTGGTTACCACTGCTTCCCTCAGAGGTCTGCTAGGAAGGTTGCACAGATAATGCATGTGAACATGCTCTGTAAAATGGTAACAAGGTATTTAATTCAATTGTAACTGAGGATGAAAAAAATATAAACATGTAGTTCAAACATCTACAAGGTCAAGCTCATGAGTAACATTTAAAATATCCTTATGTACAAATATAATTTCCAGTTTTTGGCTATAATCTCTATTATTTAGAATGTATCATATGTTTACTGGTTTTTAGAGAAAGGTCTATGTTGCCCAGGTTGGTTTCATACTACTATGCCACCCTCCTACCTCAGGCTCCTGAGCAGCTGGGAGTACAGAGAAGACCTCTGCACCCTGCTTAGTATAAATATATTTCATATAAAGTAAAAATTCATTGTCATAGTCATCTGTAATTTCAAAGGAAGAGATTTTTAAACAGTGGAAAGTTCTGAAAAATCTCAAATCAGACAACTATTTGTAAGGCAGACTCATTCATCCATCTTCATAGTCTAAGAGATTGTGCTTAAAAAACACATTTTAAAAGGGTATGGGTTTTGGGAGTTTTTGTTTTGTTTTGAGAAAAAGGAGAATAAAGATTTCTAGTGCTGCATCATCTGTCTGGATCTTTACTCTGATTTCTAAGACTAACTTCAAAATGTTCAGTTTCCTAATTTGGAAATGGGTCACTGTAACAACCTTCTACATCATGATGTAATTTCAAAAGCCCTAACCTCACTTCTATTTGTTTATCACCATTTAAGGAAGAAGTGGTGTGGAGTTTTCCCTTCAATTAAAGATAGCTTATAACCACACAAACACACAGAACAGGTCTGTTCACTGCATAAAATGTGGAAACATTATCACTTTAAACAACTATAAGCATTACCTGGTGTAATTGCATAGACATCAAAATTGTTTATTCCTTCTTCCTTTAAGATATTTTCATCAATAATAAAGTTGCCAGTAAAACTTTTTGGCCTTTTGAAAATGGAATATGCAGCATCCGCGATAATGTCAACTTTTCTACATTGACTTTCAACACCAGATCCTCCAAGCATATCCATAGCAGCAGTGTGTATGGCTGTAGAGAAAACATGTACACACACATGACTCCATATCAAAGAAGGATATGGAAATAACAAACCAGTACCACTATTGAAAAATTGCTAAGGCAAATTTCTCTCTCAGATGATGAAAAATAAGGCCAAGCTAAGGATTCACTAAACATTCTATAGACAGAACCAGGGAGACAAAGAAGCTTACACATCCCTTACTCAACACACAGTGCATGTGCAGAAATCCTTCATGAGAAGCACAGCAAACCTCCTTAGAGTTCTCATTTAGAATGTTCAAGAATTTGTACAGCAGTCTTGAGTGTTTAAAAAGCCAGTAAGGGCTAACAAAAAGGACACTGAGATGAAAGATGGGTGAGTAGGATTTTTATATGGATTGGGTCATGACTTTTGTCAAGCTACTGCAACCCCTGGACCTCAGCTTCCTCTCTCTAAAATATGAAGCTCCTTTCCCAATGTTTTTGTTTCTGCTCTCTGCATTAGAAAACATGGACTATATTTCTTATTTGTCACTGTACCACCAGTGTCTAAAACAATGACAGTGCTGGAGGTGACTCTCCTCTCTGCTGCCATTACCAAATCAGTAGCTAATGACAGCCCCCACCTGCATAAAATCTGTTCCAAAGTGGACTTTCCTGTTCCCACCACTCCGGTCGAGAACAGCCAAGAGTTAAGAGGTAGCTACTCCCTCTACTCAGCAGAAACTACGAAAAGATATCTTGTGAGACAAAAAAAAAAAAAAAATCGCAATCCTAGAAACAACCTAGGAGCTGAGAGCCTGAGATCCTCTTTCAAGAAAACACTAGAACCCATGCCCACATTCTCAAAAAGGTGAAACCTTTCTTCACTATTAGGTAAACTCTGGCTGGGTACCTCCCAGTACCCAGAGACAGAGGCAGGTGGATCTCTGTGATTTGAAGGTCATCCTGGTCTACATAGTGAATTCTAGGAAAGCCAGAGCTATGTAACAGAGATACTCTGTCTCAAAAAAGTAAAATAAATGAATAAATAAAAGTTAAAACCTTCTCTCTTCAGAGCCAGAGATGCCCAATTTTGTGTTACCTTCTGGCACACTATGAATTCCCATGTTAAGGTGATTCTTCTGTCACAACCTCCAGAGTGTCTGGGACTACAGCCATGTATATATGCCTAACTGCAACTACCACTTCTTTAATAAGGCTTTCAGTCTGAAAGATCTAAGAGAATTTGCTGAAACCATTTCTGTTGGCTTTCATGAGACTCTCCGTAGGTTCTAGCAATATGCTGTTATCATAACTGCTGGCTCAAGAGTCAGCCACTTAGTCCAAGTCAAAGCTGAGAGATGGATAGCAAGACTGTTAGGCTGCACACTAAAACATAAAGACTCAGGTGACCTGAAATGTTTCACAAGATGTCAAGGATAGGACTGGAGAACTAGCTTACTTGCAGAGTGCTCACCTAGAGTGAGACACTGGGTTTGAGCCTGGTATGGAGGAGATTTACAAATCAAATTAAGGGATTTCTTTTAAGTACAAACCTGTTTTAGGCCATAAGGCATTGACTGCAATTTCACCTCTAAATTCTTCTGCCATGCCAAGCACACACATAGACATGCCATATTTGGCAATGGTATAAGCTGAAAGAAACCACAAAGAATAATAATATACTTGAGAAAATAATCCTTGAGTAGAAACAACCAACTTCCTGTTACTATTTTCTCCCTGGTAAATTTTTGACAATGCTTTTCAAAATACAAAATATATAAGATAATTCTTTGTGTAAACAAGAACGACTCTGAACTCCTGATTCTCCTGCCTCGGCCTGCCAAGTAGTGGGAGTATGGTTCACCACATCTGACCAAATATCCTGGGGTTGTTTGCTTGTTTTTAAATGTTTTATTATTGCTAATTATGCATACATCTGTGTGTGGGTATGTGCCATTGAGTGCCTGAGGAGACCACAGTTGTAGATGTCCCTAGGCTGGCAATACAGGCAGTTGTAGGCTGCCTAATGTGAGTGCCTGATCTACATAGTGAGTTCCAAGACAGCCAGAGCTGCATAGAGAGACCCTATCTCAAAAGAATGGATGTGATTATTTATAGAGAAAGTTTCGCTCACAACTCAACAACACAAGCATGGTGTAGCTTAGTGGTAGAATATGTGCTTAGCATTTGTGAAGCCTGGATTTCAACTCCAGCTCCACAAAACAGAAAGTAATCAGGGGCTGCAAAGACAGTTCAGTGGTTAAGTGCATACTGTTCTGGCAGAGGACCTGAGTTCAATTCCCAGCACCCAGGTCAGGCAGCTCACAACTGCCTGTAATTCCAGCTCAGGGATCTGGTACCTCTCTGGCTATTAAGGGCACTTGCACTCACATGCACACACTTACACACACACACACACACACACACACACAATTTAAAAAATAAAGACTTCCAACTTACTTAACTTCATCACCTAGAATACAACTTTAGTCTTGCTCTGTGGGTTCCCACCCCCAGTGCCTTCCTAAATGCAAGTGAATTAAAATAAGAACTATTTGATACTACTTTAAGTGAGGTGCAATACATAGCTCTTATAAACTACCACATTCACCTTATATCATTCCTTTGTTATGAAAAGTATTATATAGCTAACTTTACTAATTAATAAGTTGCATGTAAACAATATACCTACTGAGACATGAAAAATGGCGCAAATCCGTGTCATAACTTGAGTAGTTACACAGTATACATATCTGCCAAAATTCATTAAATCAAACCATTAAGACCTGTGAATTCTGTTAAGTGCAATTGTACTTCAAACTTTTGGATTACAGATAAATGATTAGGAATTTACTATCTTGATCACCGGTAGCAGAAAATTCAATATTAAGTATTACATCCAGGTTGTGATTACATAATAAATACACTGATTAATTCAAAACAAATTAGCCAAACAAACTATCCCCTCAGCTAACACTTACCACAGTGCTGTTTGAACCACAGAGGATTTAGGTTCAGGGGTGGGCTAAGGTTGAGAATATGTGCTACTTTACTCTTTTTTAAAAAAGGAATACATGCTTTGGATCTGAAAATGAAAGAAAACATAAGACAAGTTAACAGCTTATGTTTGAAAGTACTACCACAGAGCAACTGAAATTGCTCAGAGATCTGTCTGGCACATCCAGTTTGCCGAGTACCTCTGTTTTCTAGAATGAAGATAATAGAAGGAACTGCTTTTCATGCTTTGAAACCATGCTTCATGTACTGGCCACAAGATCCGCTTGATAGAAAAAATCAAATCCTTTCTCTATTAGCTTTATGCCCAACTGAGGATATCTTCAACCACAACCGCCCCAAATTTTCCCACCCAAGCACACAATCACAATTTCCAGAAGCAGTAAATATACCTGTCAGACAGTTGTAGGTTCAAATCCTGCTTCTTCCCTTTGTATATCACTGCATTCTAGTTCTCAGGATGTTACTATAAGATGGGTAATACCCACTACCATCTAGGACTGATCCAAGGAGTCAAATGAGATACTTCAGACAGTGCATGTGCTCAACATGAAATAAAAAGTTGCTATGAGTGGCATCACATATGCTAGTTTATTTTACCAATATATAATGCAATACACCTTTGAAAGCAATATGTAACATAGAGGTTTGGTTTTGATTATTGTTGTTTCTTTTTGCTTTTTGAGACAGAGTCTGAGTACATAAGTCAGGCTGGTCTAGAATTCATTCTGTAGCCCAGTCTAGCCTTGAACATGGAGTAATCCCACTGTATCTGCCTCCTGGGTGTTAAGATTATAGGTATGTGCCTCTATAAGAGCTAATTTTATTTTTAACTGCTTATTGAAATACAATGTTTACTTTATAGAAGACTTATATCCAATATTTTCATAATTTTAAGTATTAAAATCATAGCATCAAATAGCTAAACAACATTATTATAGCTCAGTTATACCTTTATTTCGTATTTAAGAACATCTAAGGGCAAAGCCAGGCATTAGTGGCGCACACCTTTAATCCCAGCACTTGGGAGGCAGAGGCAGGTGGATCTCTGTGAGTCTGAGGCCAGACTAGTCTACAGAACGAGTTCCAGGACAGCCTCCAAAACAATACAGAGAAACCCTGTCTCGAAAAACCAAAAAAAAAAAAAAAAATCTAAGGGCATTAAGCATGGCAGTGCATGACTATGATCCCATCATTCAAGAAGCTGATGCAGGAGGATTGCCAAGTCCCCAGTCAACCTGAGCTACATAGCAGAACCCTGTCTCAAAAGTACAAGAGAAAATTTTGAGGCTGGGGCTGTAATTCAATTGTAGAGCATCTGTCTGTGATGCATATGGCATAAGGTTCGAGCCTCAGAACTGAGATGAAAGAAGCAGTAGGGGGAGGATTGTGAACTAAACCATTCTTGTTTTAGGTCAGTTTTTTAAAAATTATTATTATTTCCAAATACAGTTTTTGCTCGTGACTCACGTAAGGTAGGTGCCCCTGGTGTTCACACTCATCATCAAGTCCACTCTCTTTGTAGGAGTATCCAACGTGTTGGTCAAGCTAATAGCACTCGCATTGTTCACCAAAATATCAATTCCTGTTTCCAAAGAAATCAATTCCATTTTAACACAAGTCAGAGTTTCTCTCTCCCCCCCCACCCTATATACACAAAATATTTCCTCTATGGTTGATCCCTCAGCTGATTAATAAATATAAACATACACACACACAGACTATATGACTGACCAATATATCAATACCAGATCCAGTAACTCTTTCAAGATTTATTTCACTGGCGCAGTGGAGACACAGCCAATTACCAGAGTTCTATGGAAAACTGCAAGGAGGCTTAGTGCCTACAAGTTGTAGCTTCAACCCCTAAATACCGGTCTTCTCTCACTGGATCCAGGAACCATTGGTCAAATCCTCTCTAGTACTCTCAGACCCATGACCTTTCCAAGAACACTAGTCTCCCTCTCCACACAGTTCCTTTCTTTTTCCTTCCTTTCTCTCTCTCTCTTCCTTTCTTTCTTTCTCCCTTTCTTTCTTGTTTTTTTTTTTTTTTTTTTTTTTTGTTCAAGGCAGGGTTTCTCTGTGTAACAGTCCTGGCTATTTCCCAAGTACTAGGATCAAAGGCGTGTACCATCACTACCCAGCCACAATCCCTTTCTTAAGGAAAGGGCTCCTTTCTGGTCTTGGAATCTAGGGAAAGAGAATGATCTTGAGTTTCAAACCCCAAACAAGACTTTTTTAAGTGACTCATACACAGAAACACACACAGAAACACACACACACACACACTTAAAATAATTCCAATTTATTTATACTCTATCCAGAGTATGTGTGTGCGTATCTTGTTTTCAGTTATATGCTTAACAATAACATTAAATGAAAATTTCAGTGAAAAGGTAAAACTTCTCCATTTCGTTGAAAATACTTCTCTGCAGAGAGTGCCAATTAGATCTAAGGTCAGAACAACCATTTGCGACTTGTGAAGAAGTTACAAGAAACTCAGGCTACCTACCAGATGGCTTCAGTGAGTTATGCACCCTAAATTGCAGGTTACAACAGAAGGAAGAGACTACAGTCACCTAAGTTGCATTCCACTACATTATTCTCACTACTCCATTTTACTGATATTGTTAATCTCTAACTAGGCCTAGTTTATGTAACATGTATCACAGGTATGCAGTTATAGGGGGAAAATAGCATAAATAGGTTTTTCAGGCATCCACTGGTTTTATCAAGGTTCAGAAATTATTTCAGAATCAAGGGAATACCTCCAAACTTCTCCACAGCTTTTTCTACTGCATTGCTGATTTGCTGTTCATCTCTCACGTCAACAACGCACGGCAAGGCCTTTCCTCCAGCTGCTTCAACTACAGAGACACAAACAAAAACCATGAAATTGTAATTACACCTTCATTCTGATGCAACAATAGTAAAGACAAAAAGTTCCCCATTTCCGGAAGAATTAAAATTACATTATGGGGTCTTAGAACCACAGTAGATGGATTGACTGACCCAACCACAGCTGGGGCTCTGTGGTCTCCAGGCGTTAACACAGTGCACACACACACACATACATGCAGGCGAAAGACTAGTGCACGCAGAATAAATCCATCTAAAAACAAAATGTTTACCCCATCCTTCCATCAAATATCTTCTCTTCACTTCCATTCTGCCTCTACCTCCTACTCAAGAATAACTACTCTAAAGAAATTTGATTTTTTTTTCCCAGTGCTGGGAATGGAACCCTGGACCTTGTACAACTTACAGTCCCAGCCCTGAGATGTGATTAACCTAGATATGATTAATTAGAATCTCTCATACTACTCAAAGGAGCTAGAGGTGGAAAAAACAGTCAGAACTCCCTCTCTCGGTAACAAAATAAATACTCCTTTAAACACTAGATTTTTTTTTTTTTGAGACAGGGTTTCACTCTGTAGCCTTAGCTGTTCTGGTTCTCACTCTGGAGACCAGGCTGGCCAGGAACTCACAGACGTGCACTACCATTTATTTAGTTTATTTTAACGTACACGCACACGCCATGACATGCATGCAGAGGTTGAAAGACAACTTTGTAAAAGCCAGTTGTCTCCACAGTGTGGGTTTGGGGATCCAGCAGGAGTTGTCAGGATTGGCAGCAAGCACCTTTCTTTACCTGCTTGAGCAACGTCTCGCCAGCCCTAAACACAATTATTATTAAAGTGACTTTCAACTAGCGTACACTGAACTCTGCACCGAGCATGCACTGAAATCGCTGCAAGGACAGTCCATGGGATGGCAGCTGTCACACTCACTTTCTTCAGCAGCGGTGTAGATTGTGCCTGGGAGTTTCGGGTGTGTTTGGGTGGTTTTCGCAGCAATGACGATGTTTGCTCCATCCTTCGCTGCTTTCAATGCAATAGCTTTGCCGATGCCTCGGCTTGCACCTGTGATAAAAACCGTGCATCCCGCTAGCTTCCTAGACACAGCAAACAAAGATGCCCTTATTAGAAAGTTCACTGGTTTTTTTATTTATACCAGCTCACATACATTTTCATGATTTCCTCTATGCCCCCACCCACCTGAAAGATTATAACCCCACTATATTTCCACTGCACACACATAAATAATATGACAACTGCAGCTGGTCAGTCTTAACTGAGATCTGGCAATCAAAATCTGCTCAAATACAAAGGAAATATTTTTGTTTGTTTTGTTTTTCATGACAGGGTTTCTTTTTTCTTCTTTTTCTTTTTTTTTTTTTTTTTTTTTTTTTTTGGTTTTTCGAGACAGGGTTGGTTTCTCTGTATTGCTTTGGAGGTTATCCTGGAACTAGATCTGTAGACCAGGCTGGCCTCCAAACTCACAGAGATCCGCCTGCCTCTGTCTCCCAAGTAGTGGGATTAAAGGTGTGAGCCACCAATGCCCGGCCCTTTTTTTTTTTTTTAACAATTTATTTTTATTTTATTTGCATTGGTGCTTTTCAGGCATGTATGTCTGGGGGAAGGGGGTCAGACTTGTAGTTAGTTACAGACAGGTGTGAGCTGCCATGTGGGTGCTGGGACTTTTCCTCTGGAAGAGCAGTCAATGCTCTTAACCACTGAGCCATCTCCCCAGCCCCAAGATAGGATTTCTGTGTGTAGCTTTGGAGCCTATACTGGATTTGGAGCCTATACTGGAATGAGCTCTCTTTTTTTTTTTTTTGGTTTGTCGAAACAGGGTCTCTCTATGGCTTTGGGGGCTGTCCGGGAACTAGCTCTTGTAGATCAGGCTGGCCTCAAACTCACAGAGATCTGTCTGTCTCTGCCTCCTGAGTGCTGAGATTAAAGGTATGTGCCAGCACCGTCTGGAGGAAACGTATTCACAAGCCTGTGTGTGGTGTATAGGATGTATGTGTGCAGACGTATGTGCCTAAGTAGATGCAGAGACCAGAGAAGGACCTCAGGTACCCTTCTCTAATCACTCTCTACTCCAGTTCTCTTAAGACAGGGTTAGGGGCTGGAGAGATGGCTCAGAGGTTAAGAGCACTGACTGCTCTTCCAGAGGTCTTGAGTTCAATTCCCAGCAACCACATGGTGGCTGACAACCATCTACAATTCAATCTGGTGTATATGTAATAAATAAATAAAAAATCTTAAAAAAAAAAAAGACAGGGTTAGCCTATGGCAAGCTAGCTGTATATAACCCCAGGATCCTCCTGTCTCTGCCCATGACAGAGTTACGGGGTTTCAGGTTACAGGTTAGTGCACCCATACACAGCTCTTTCACAGATTCAAACTCAAGGTCCTCAGGCTTACCCAGCAGTCACCTTTTCCCATGGACTCATCGGCTAACCTGAGATTTTTTTTGTTTTGTTTTGTTGTTGCTTGGAGACAACAGTCTCATGAGGCACAGGCTGGCCTTGATCCCCTAATCCTCCTACTTCTACCTCCTAAGTGCTGGGATACAGGCATGTACCACTATGCTTATCAACAAGACTTATTTGTGAGTGGCAGACTTACACATAAATTTTTATCCTTTCCATTTTATAGTACTTTTCAAATTTTCTACAATAAATACATAACACTTGATCTTTATAAAAAATCCCTAAAAATACTAGCTAGAGTGGGAAACCCCAAATATGGATTAACTAATGAATGGATAGATATAAGTGCTTTGCCCCCACAATGTTCAGTAATGCAATGGAATGACTAAAATATACTACAGTATAGACAAGCCATCTAACTTCACAGACCACACATTATTAAGATTCCATTCTATGATACGAACAGAGCAGTCAAACCTGTAGAGACTCAAGACCTTCCACTGCCTGGAGTGGGAATGAGAGGGCTTGGGAGCCAACAGCTGAGAGCTAAGAACTTTTTTCTGGGATGATAAAGGTTTTAAATTGTGACTTTTTTTTTCTACGTAGATGCAGAGCCACTGACTGGTGTAAGAATTACATTCAGTAAAGCTGTTAAACAAGACTAGCAGGAGCAAGAACAGGCTAGCTAGAAATAGCCCCGATTCAAATATCCTGACATCCCTAGCTCCCGTTTCATTCTCTATACCTCCCATCTTCACGCTGAATTTTCTCCTTATTCTGCTGTTAAGTGACAACAAGAAAAGTGGCTACAAGATAAGTAAGTTTGCTAACAAACAGGAGGCTCCTGGGGGATTACACTAGAGTAGGACCACAGTAGGTATGGGCAGAGATAGTTTTGAAATAAGGAATAATAGTGTATTAGTTGCTTTTCTACTTCTGTGATAAAAATACCATGACCAAAGCAACTTATAGAAGAGGAAGGGTTTATTTGGTCTTATGCCAGAGGGAAAACACCTACCATCACAGCAGGCGGGCCTGATGGCTGAACAGCAAGCTGGGAGCTCACATCTTAACCACAAGCAGGAAGCAGAGCGCAAACTGGGAATGGTGGCTTGGCTTCAAAGCTTCAAAGCTCACCCCAGTGACACACTTCTTCCAACAAGGTCACATATCCCAACCCTACTCAAACACACCGCCACCTAGCGATCAAGTCGTCAAAACTCTGAACTCACGGGAAACACGGTCATTCAAAACATCGTAAGTCACTTTGATGGGAAGAAACCAATGTAGAGAATGGGAAAGAGACAAAAAGGAAAATAGAGTAAACATACAAAAAGAATGTAAAGTGAGCATATAAAGCTTACATAGAAACAACTGTGTACTATCTAAGCCAAGAAACAGACTAGTACCAAAGCCACCAGCCCACCTCTCTGCCATGGTTTGAAAACAAAACATCCTCCAGTCTTGTTTTTAACAATTGTAGGGCGCTCCTTTAGGGGGAGACTGGAGGGAGGAAAGTCACTAGGGGAGGGCCCTTGGAGGTTATATCTGGCCCTACTTCCTGCGCCTTTCTCTGCATCTTGGTCCACTGTGATGTGAATCCTCCACTTGTCCCTTCTGTCCCTCACCCCCCCACATACACACACACACCACACAATGCACTGAGATCCTCTGAAACTATGAGTCAAAAATAAGCCTTCCCTTCCTTGTTCCTGAGAGGCATTTTAGTCATAGCAATGCAAAGATAACTAAAACATTCTCCAGTTCTACCTGCTTCCTTCTTCCACCCCCCAAAGCAAAAACTGCTTTAAATATTATTGTTCATTCTTTTAAAGTCATTTCATACCTATGCGTTTAAGCCTAGCCCAGCGTCGGACAATTACGGCCCATGGGCCAAGTCCAAATCATTACCAATGTGTGTAGAGGGAGGGCAAGAGCCAAGAATGACCTTTACAGATGAACATTTGCAACCAACTTTACGACAGAAAATACCAGCCTCAAACCCTGGTTTGTGGCACTTTGTCATTACATCCTAGAAAGCTGTTATCACTCTAGCAACCCTCAAAACTCCTCATGAGATACCGTACTACAAAAAATTGTGCCCAATTATTTTTAATATCCACAATAAAAACATTATGGAGATTGATTTTTATGCCTTACTATATAAGTGTATCCATCTCTAATGTTGCCTTTTGGTGTACAAAACCTAGTATTCACTAGCCGGCCTTTGACAAAAAAGACTATCAAACTATGGTCTGAACAATGCACTATTTAGGTTTTTCTACCTAATTATGAACTCAATATAACAGATTCTGTTTAGAGAGCTGTCCATATGATTTAAGTAGAACTATATTCATTCATTTTTCATCAATACATGAACCCCAGACATGAACGTACTGTAAGTTATCCATTCCACCATTCAGCAATAGTGCCAGTGCTATAAATGTTGGTGAACTCATCTTCCAGTCACTTGTGCTAGTTTCTTTAGGGCAGACATCCACCAGTGAAACTGCTCCCTATGCACTGGTTTCTTGTCTCAGTGTTACAAAATACCTCTTAAAAGCAATGAAGGGAGCCGGAGAGTTGGCTCGGCAGTTAGGAGTGCGAACTGTCCTACCAGAGGACTGGCATGTGGATCCCTGCGCCCGTATCAGGCAGCTTATGAATGCTTGTAACTCCAGGCTCAAAGGATCCTACTCCCCTCCCTGGCCTCTGTGGACATGTACCGACACACGGAAACAGATACACACACAAAGTAAAGTAAGTACGCTTAAAAAGCAATGAAGAGTTTATTTGGGCTTCCAGTTTGAGGGGATACACTCGGGAAGGCATAGTGGTGAGAAAGTGAGGCCCTGGTCACAATGCCACTACAGTTAGGAAGCAACAGAGTCCAATGCTGCTGCCGATTTCCTTGATTCTTCCTTTCCCCTTCTTGCTCAGTCCAGGTCCCCCCCCCCCAATGCTATGGTGCTTCTTCTAGTATTCAGGGTGGGTCTTCCATCTTCAGCTAAACGCTTCTTTAAACCCCGCTCAGACACACCCAGAGGCATGCCTCCTGGTGACTCTAAGTCCAATCAAACCACTGAAATCAGAGTGATGCTTCAGGTACTCAGGATCCTGAGCTCAACCTCCACCACTTTAAAGGGGAAGGAGGGTGCTGATGTGTCTGTTCCCTCACAAACCAACCATCATATCTTATATGACAGTGCTATGGATCAAAGAAAATCTCAACCACAAATTCTGGGACACTCCTTCAATCAAGAGAAACTGCCTATTTCCCCCCTGGATTCTGGCTTGACCTCCTAGCTTCTGTTGGACAAGACTGTGATAAACCCAGTGTGGTGGCACACACCTTTAACCCCAGTACTCGGAGGCAGACACAGATGGATCTCTGAGTTTGGGGCAACCTTGGTCTACAGTTAGGGCTACACAGAGAAACTCTGTCTCAAAAAAAAATAAAAAATAAAATAAAAAGCCAGGCAGTGGTACCACTCACTTTAAATCCCAGCACTCTGGAAGCAGAAGCAGGCAGATCTCTATGAATTCGAGGACAACCTGGTCTGCATAGGGGGTTCCAGTTCAGCCAGGGCTGCTACACAGAGAAACCCTGTCTCGAAAAGGAAAAAAAAAAAAAGGTCGAGGATATAGGTCAATAGTCCAGTATATGCTTAGTACATATGAGAGAGGCCCTGGGTTTGATGTTTAATACTACAAGGGGAAAAAAATTAGTCATTAAGTTAAATGTGTGGCAATAGAAATCCCAAGATGAGCATGGTGACACACACCTGGAATCCCAGCTCTTGGGATGATAAGGCAAAGAATTACCAAAAGTTCAAGGCCAGCCTGGGATATACAGTAAGTTCCAGGCTAACCTGTGTTAGAGACTCTACCTGAAAGACAGACAGACAGACAGAAAGGGGATGGGGAGAGGGAAGGGAGGGAATGGGAGAGAGAGGAATCACTGAGATTTTGGGATAACAATAACTAGATACTAACAGAGCCCTGACTCCTCTAGATGAGGACAGGGGAGGACAGGGACATGGGAGCTAGGCTAGAGAATATAAAAAGAATTTTTTCCAGGCTATCACTCATGTCAAAGGGGAGAACAAAGATGCCATCTGTTCTTCTTCCAATAAGACAGAATAAGAGATAGATGTGTGGGGCTGGAGAGATGGCTCAGCGGTTAAGAGCACTGACTGTTCTTCCAGAGGTCCTGAGTTCAATTCCCGGCAACCACATGGTGGCTCACAACCACCTTGAATGAGATCTGGTGCCCTCTACTGGCATGCAGGCAGAAGACTGTATGCACAATAAATAAATAAAATATTTTTTAAAAAAAAGAGAGAGATAGATGTGTAAAGGCCTGGAGAGATGGCTCAGGCAGTAAAGTGCTTGCCACAGCTTGAAGATCTGAATTTTAGACCTCATACTCACAGAAGAAGCCAGCTGTGGTTGTGCAAACTGCAGGAGAGATCTTTGTGAGTTCAAGGCAAGCCTGGTCTACATATGGAGTCTCAGGCCAGCCAGGACTACACAGTGAGACCCTGTACCAAAAAAAAAAAAAAAAAAAACATACATACATATATACATACATATGTATGTATGTATACTAAAAATATGTATACTGCTAAAGAAATGCTTAGAGGATAGAAAGATGGCTCAGAGGTGAATTAAGAGACCTTGGTGCTCTTGCAGAGGACCAGATTTCAGTAGTGAGCACCCACATCACACAGCTCACACTCCAGCTCCAGAAACACTGACACCCTCTTATAGCCTCCATGGGCACTGTACACTCACAATACACACGCACGAAAAGAAAAGCACAAATAAAGAGACGTTTAATGCTAAGTATTCACATAAAATGTCTGCCAACTATTGATTTACGGGCCTATCCCTTAGTCTGGAGTACAGCTGGACTGAATCCCAGTAGGATAAGGGGCATACTCCTGCTCACCAGAGCCCAGGGTGTTGGCAGTCAGACTGGTCATACTATGCCTCTAGCTGCAGAACATTAGGATCAGGGTGCCAATGGCAAGGGCATTCTTGTTTGGGGAGGTTTTTTGTTGCTTGTTTTGTTTTGTTTTTCAAGGAAGGATTTCTCTCTGTAGCTTTGGAACCTGTCCTGGAACTCGCAGAGATCTGCCTGCCTCTGCCTCCCGAGTGCTGTGATTAAAGGCGTGTGCCACCAACACCCCGGCCCTATTTTGATATCTGGAGAAGCTAGTTCACCTCATTTGAATTTTTTCCCCTGAGACTGGCTAGTTTGGATACTTTACTCTCATTTATGCTTTTGGTGATGAATAGCTACCTGTTTGCTTTTTTATTTTTCTTTTTTTTTGTTGTTGTTTTGTTTTGTTTTTCAAGACAGGGTTTCTCTATACAATGGCCCTGGCTGTCCTGGAACTCTGTAGACCAATGCAGGCCTTGAATTCACAGTGATCTGTCTGCCTCTGCCTCCCAATATCTGTCTTGTAACATCAAACGTAAAAACATACATTCTTTTCCATCCAGCAATTTCGATTTCAAGAACTTATCCTAGAAAGTAAATTCACCTATGAGCATACAGACAAATAGAAGAAGGATAATGAAGCCAGGCGTGGTGGCACAGGTCCTTAATACTAACACCTGGCAAAGGCAGGCAAATCTCTGTGAGTTCAAGGTCAGTTTGGCCTGCACAACAGCCAGGACTATGCTCAGACAAAACAAATGAATAATAATGGAAGCAAAGATAGAATAAAAACAACACCAACAAAAGAGATAACAACTGTATATAATTCAGTATCAACAATAAGGAACAGGTTGAATAAATGATGGTCTTCAATAGTAATATAAAACTATTAAAGAGGACAAGGAAGAGGTACATGTACTGGAAACCTATGTACACCCCAAGACATGTCAGGTAAAAACAGCAAGTCCAAAATGGAGTTTGCTACTATTTCCTAAAAAGTAGGAGGTGACTCTGTAGGCTGTACAAAATATGTTTGTAAATGCAAAGAATATAAACATACCAGAAAGGAACCGAATATTTAAGGATTAAGAGATATTCATTTACACCGTTTTAAACTATTTAAGTCTTTTAGCTGTCTCTATGTGTCAAGCTAATTACAGAATGGGCTTGTCACTTGCTTAAGACACCCAAACTTTACAGAACACAGTAGACCAACCTGAGTTTGGCAAGGACTAAGTAGGGAGGAAGACCATTGTTTCATAGGTATTCGTTTTGATTTTGCAAGACTGAGAAGTCCTGGCGATTGGTTGCGCAACCATGTTAATATAAATGTGAGGATTTGGGGGAGGACATAGACAGGGTGTGGTGACATATTACTTATGATTTATTAAAGCTTGCTTGAGGATCCAGAAAACAAAGTCAGCCACAGCCATAGAAGTCAGGCACACACTTTTAATCCCAGAAGCCAGAAGTTAGTGGCACACACCTTTAATCCTAGGACTCAGGATTAAGAGGTAGACCAATCTCTCTGAGTTCAAGGCCACCCAGGGATACAGGAAATTGAAATCAGTATAAGAGAATAACATCACACGCTTTCAATCCCAGCACTAGAGGGGTATAAAAGATAGAAGCAGGGTCTTCAGTATTCAGTAGGAGCATTCACCAGCCACACTGAAGACAGAGGCATTCATTCTCCAGCCACAATGAGGAGAGGCAGCAGTTTGAGGCTTGGTGAAGAGCTCGTGGATCAGCCCTTTCAGCCTGAGCTAGAAGTGAGAGCTAGTGGCTGGCTGCTTTGCTTTTCTGATCTTCAGCTTGAGGCTTGAAGCCCACGATCAGTCTCTGGGTCTTTTATTTTTCGTGTTACAAAAGGGTCTCACTCTGTAGCATTTGGTAACCTACTCACTTATGTAGACCAGGATAGTCTTGATCCTCCAGAGCCTGCCTCTCTGAGTGCTGGGATTAAAAGCATATGCCACTATGCCTGGCTAAACTGGGGTAAATACACTTCATTTTTTAAGTTAAAAGCAAAAGCAAAAAAAAAACCTACCCCCAAAGATATTTGTATTGTAACACTTTAACTCGCTGTTAAACTTGCAAAGCATTTTCCAAACAGCCTATTCTTTTATTATCCTACAATCAAGCATACAGAACAAACAGAAAGTTTAAGGTTACTACTAACTGTCCCAAGAGACCTTTCACCTAGAAGCTGAAAGCAGTACTGTCACCGGGCCAAGCTAATGGGACAAACAAATTTGGGGTCACGCTGGAGAGTCGGGGACACTCGCTGTGGGGTATCTAACACCGCGGCGCCCTACGGGAGACACAACTTTGGGTTCTACAATATAGGACACAACTTTGGGATCTTATGCACGCACCGTCCCCGCCGCCGGTCCCAGGGACTTGATCTTCTTCACCGCGCCACCCCACACCCCACACCCCACCCCCGAGTTCCAGAGCGCGCGGCAGCTTCGCCGACCCTCGCGGCGCCCGCCGGATAGCACCGGCGACCTCGCGAGTAGTCCCCCCCCCCCGGACCCATCCTGGTCCCCTTACCCGGTGTTGGGCAGCATGACCTTCGCAGCTCAGAGGACTTGCTAGCAGTGGGACAGCGGCAAGCCGTGAGTGACAGGCCAACCTTCCCTCCGCATTTAGCCGCGCCCCCGACCCCGCCCCGAGGCCCGCTCGGGAACCCGCTTGCCTCCAAGATGGTGATCGCCGAGTGCGCCTGCGCACGCCGGGCGCTGGGCGGGACTTTCCACCGCTCCACAAAGGACACCCAGGAAACCAACTCTCTGCGCATGCGCCGTGGGAGCCACCTCCGCCCCCGCCCCTTCCCGGGATCTGGCGATGACAATCGGTCCTGCGCGTGGGTTGCTGGCGTGTCCAGAGCATCGGTCCTACGTAGGCTTCCCCCAGGCCGTCCGAGGTTCGGCGCAGGTCCAGCAGGAGGGCCGGTTGAGGGGCGCGCCGGGGATGCTGGGCGTCGTCCTTCTCTGTCCATCCCCGAGCCAAGACTCTAGCTCCGAGGTCCCCTCGGGAACGCTTGTGGACGTCTGAAAAGTGCTTTTGCAGAAGCCAGTCAGCATTTTAGCTGCCGCCGGATGTGGACGTAGCCGGCCTGACCTCCAGTGTCTGTAGACAGGCGGCGAGAGGGCCCCTCTGGAAGAGGTCCTTTGCAAGGGTCACCCATAAGAATTCATCGTGTATCTGGGCCACCGAAGCCAAGTTTGGAGAAGTCCTGCAATGAATGCTGGAATGATTCTGGGATCCGGTGTCGCCTTGGAGTTATACCTGATTCAGTTACCCTGGAAATGTAATTGTTTTCTGTTTTGTGACGGTAGAAAAGATGCTAAAGAGATTACCAGAAGCCTAGTTCAGGAAACCAACTTGAGATAGGTGTGTACTCTCCTGTTTGTCACAGGCTAAAGAGATTATCTGAAGCCTCGCTCAGGAAGCCAACTTAAGATAGGTATGTACTCTAGCCGGGCGGTGGTGGCGCACGCCTTTAATCCCAGCACTCGGGAGGCAGAGGCAGGCGGATCTTTGTGCGTTCGAGGCCAGGCTGGACCAATAGCCTCCGAAACAATACAGAGGAACCCTGTCTCGTAAAAACCAAAAAAAAAAAAAAAAAAAGATAGGTATATACTCTCTTATTTGTCACAGGCTAAAGAGATTATTGGAAGCCTAGCTCAGGAAACCAACTTAAGAAAAAAAAAGTTGTGAATTTTGTTTTCAGTCATAAAAGTGGTATCTTGCCAGGCGGTGGTGGCGCGCGCCTTTCATCACAGCACTCCTGAGGCAGAGGCAGGTGGATCTCTGTGAGTTCGAGACCAGCCTGGTCTGCAGAGCAAGTTCCAGACAGCCAGGGCTACACAGAAAAACCCTGATTGGAAAAATCAAACCAAACAAACAAAAACTGGTATCTTGTAAACTCACACCTAGACTTATGTTATTTGGGAGGCATTTGTGGAAAGTTAAGTTTAGTCCTAAATTATTTGTGGTAAGTTTTCTAGGTAAATGAAAATGAAATCCTTAGGGTTTTTTGTTTGTTTCATGTTTATGATTGTTTTGCTTGCCTGCCTGCATGACTGTGCCCTGCCAGATGAAGAGGTCAGGACTCAGTGCCAGGTTCCCTGGAACTGGAGTTATGGGCAGTTGTTAGCTGCCATATGGGTTTTGAGAATCAAACCCTGGATCCTTTGGAAGAGCAGCCAGTGCTCCTAACCACGGAGCCATCTTTTTATCCTTAAACTAAATCTGCAGATTAATAAATCAATAACAAGGCTGCAGAGATGGCTCCACGGCTAAAAGTGAATGCTGTTCTGACTGAGGCCCTGGGTTTGATTCCCAGCACCTGTGTCTGGTGGCTTACCACCACCTGGAACTACAGCTTCTGGGGGGTCTTAGGGCCTTCAGCCATCCACAGGCACCCCACACACATGGGGGGAGCATGCGCGCGCGCACACACACACACACACACACACACACACACACACACACACACATAAATAAATAGCCAGGAATGGTGACATACACCTTTGATTCCAGCACTCCGGAGGCCAAGGCAGGCGGCACTACAAAGTGAGCCCCTATCTCAAAGAAATTTAAATATATAATTGAATCCACTGCCTTAAATATTTTTGACTAGTGTTAGAATGTGATTTAGAGTTATCCATGACCTTCCACAGTAATGATTTGTGTAGCCTGCAAGCCAGACATGGTGACTCAGGCTCCTACCTAGCCTTCAGGAGGCTGAGGCAAGCCTAAGCTCTGTGTAGTGAGACCCTATCTCAAAACAACACAAAACCCGAGCTCTAAGGGTGGAGAATGGGTAAGGAAGAATAGGTTTTGTTAATAGTTTACAAGATGAGCAGTTTGGATTTAGACTTTAGGAAGATTTGTTGTGGCTGCAGTGTGAAGAAGAGCTTCAAGGAAGATTGAGACAAAGAAGTCTATGATAACGCCATGAATAAGAAAAAATGTTAGAGGGTGTGGCCTAAAGCACTAATGGTGGGTGAAAAGATATGTTTAAGAAATAGAACCAACCAGATTTAACTCATGAATATATGCAGAGAAGAAGAAAAGATGATGTCGGAGATGACTGCCATATGCCTGGGAATATAGTGGCACAAGACAGTGGTTCCTCAAAAACTTAAAAATATAATTGCTGGGGGCTGGAGAGATGGCTCAGAGGTTAAGAGCACTGACTGCTCTTCCAGAGGTCCTGAGTTCAATTCCCAGCAACCACATGGTAGCTCACAACCATCTCTTAATGAGATCTGGTGCCCTCTTCTGGCATGTAGACATATATGGAGGCAGGATGTTGTATTTATAATAAATAAGTCTAAAAAAAAAACAACAAACTATATATATATATATATACATATATATGTATATATATATATATATATATAATTGCTGTGCTTCACCAGCAAATGGAAGAGAGATTTGCACACCTATATTGGTAGCAGCATTATTTAGAATAACCAAAAGTTTACAAGTATTTGTTCTTTGATGGGAATAGTAAACTAAATGTAGTATATGTGTACCACGTAGTCTCAGTCTAGTTTGTTTAAAACGGTATCTCTATTTAGCCCTAGCTGTCCTGGAACTCACTACGTAAACCAGATGGCCTCAAACTCACAGTGATCCTCCTGCCTCTGCCTCCCAAGTGCTGAGATTAAAGGCTTACTATGCCACCATCCAATGGTATATGATGGTGTATTTTTATTTCATGTATACCAGTATTTGGCTTGTATGTATGTCAGTGTATCCCACATATACATTTCCCTCTGGAGCCCAAAGAGAGCACTGGACCCCTGGAACTGGAGTTAGAGATAGTTGTAAGCCACCGCATGGGTGCTGGGAATTGAACCTTGGCTCTCTGTAAGAGCAGCCAGTGCTCTTAATCACTGAGTCAGCTCTGCAGCGTCCCCAAAATTACATAATTTTTTTCAAAAGCAGTTCAGCTATGTGACACCTTTATAATCCCAGCTTCTTGGGAAAAGATGAAGGAAGAACAAGACCAAAGCCCACCTGGACTCCATAGGGAGTTCAAGGGCAACACTGGGTAACTGAGCAGGACTTCTGAGAGTTACATGGTGAGACCCTGTCCCCAAACAAGACACAACCATGGAATGTACACCATAACACAGGAACACTAATGTGAACCATGGGCTTGAAAGATAATGTGTCAGCGCTGCTTCATTAATTGTAGCAACTCCAACACACCAATTTGGGGTGTCAATGATAAAGAGGGGTTCACAGTAAGTGACTAACCTCCATTGTCAACTTGACTGAATTTAGAATCACCAGGGAAATGCATCTCTGGAAGGGCCTCTGAGAGTGTTTACAGAAAAGTTTAACTGGGGAGGGAGGGCTCACACTGATCAAGTGGCCCAATTCCCTGGGTTGGACATTGGGGCTGAAGAGAAGAAAACAGTCTAAGCACCATCGTTCATCTCTCTTCTTCCTGGCTTTGGATGCCGTGGCCAGCTGCCTTCCCTGACAGGATGGACTGTGTCCTCAAACTGAGCCAACAGAAACTTCCTAAGTTATCCTCAGGCATTTTGTCACAGAAACAATTAAAATACTAATGCGAGAGGAAATCCATACTTTCTGCTCGTTTTTTTTTTATGAACATTAAACTGTTCAAAAAATGTGTGCACAGCCGGGTGTTGGTGGCGCACGCCTTTGATCCCAGCCCTCGAGAGGCAGAGGCAGGCGGATCTCTGTGAGTTCGAGGTCAGCCTGGTCTACAGAGTGAGTTCCAGGACAGCCTCCAAAACAATAAGAGAAACCCTGTCTCGAAAAAGACAAAAAACAAAAAAGACAGAGGACTCAAGTTCAACTCCCAGCACCCACATAGCAGCTCACAACTGTCTATAATGCCTGCTCCAGAGAACCCAGTGTCCTCTTCTGGCTCTGCATGCACGTAGTACGAAGGCATACATACAGGCAAAATACCCACACATACAAAAATAAAAATAAAGCTAAACTTTTTTTTTCCCCAAGACACAGTTTCTCTGTATTGTTTCAGAGGCTGTCCTGGAACTCGCTCTGTAGACCAGGCTGGTCTCAAACTCACAGAGATCCACCTGCCTCTGCCTTCCGAGTGCTGGGATTAAAGGCATGCGCCACCGACACCCGGTTGAAAGCTAAACTTTTAAAGTTAAAAAAAAAAAAAAACTCAAAGCAGTACACCTGGAGGCCGAGAAAGAAGGATCATTTGCCACCAGAAGTATGAGATCAGACTAGGCAACACAGGGACACTTTATTCCAAAAAACAAACAAACAAACAAAAAACAAAAACCCATAGGATCTGAGTAGAAAATTCTCCCCCAAAGACAAACAAACAAGCTGGGTGTGATGACGCCTTTAATCCCAGCACTTCAGAGGGCACTCTGAAGTAGAGCCTGCAGGATGATTTCTGAGATCAAGGCTAACCTGGCCTACAAAGCAAGTTCCAAAACAGAACAGCCAGAGCTACACAAAGAAACTGTCTAAAAAAAAAAAAAAAAGCATGTAAACAGCCAAGAAGATGCTGGGGGAAATGAAGCAGCATTAAGTATAAGGGAAATGTGACCCAATACCAAAGTGAAATTACATCACTTTGCATCTACTAGGATGGCTACAAATGAAAATGATACAAAATAACCAGTGTTCAGGGCATGGAGACATTGAAGCAGGGAGTGTGAAATGGTGCCGGAAGGCAG